TGCCATGTCAAGCACAGCCACTGCTGAGGAACATTTAAATTTGCAATGACATGTGACCTGGCAATTTGGTTTTATATAATGAAACTCAAAGCCCAAGTTCTGTCCTGCCTTTAAAACGGATGAAGGGCGGACCCTTGTAGAATAAATGACTACAGCACCAAGAGGGCTGGAGTAAAGCTTTCAGAAATGCACAGAAGTGGTAAGGACTGGGCAGTGATGTATCAACACAAGAAGGTTTCTTACAGAAAAGTTTTGTGCCTTTTCCTATCTTATGTGTCACTGTCACTCTATCAAAGAACCTGCGTCTTGCCACGGTGAAACAAAAAGCCTGCTAAGGACAGTCCCTCCCCCCAGAAAAGCATTTCTATAGAGCCTGTGTCCTGAGTACACTCCTGTACTGCAATGAATCTTTTGTGCAGAGCAGGAGAAGAAGTTGAACACGTTCCATATGCATTGTCTCTGACACATTTTTGGTATCACCTGGCAGGACAAAGTTCCAGACAGAGTAGTCCTAGAATGAGCTGGAATTTTTAGCATGTATACATTGCTGAAACAGCGACGTCTACGTTGGCTTGGGCATGTTGTGAGAATGGCTGATGGCCGGATTCCAAAAGATCTCCTGTATGGAGAATTAGTGTAGGGAAAGCACCCCAGAGGGAGACCACAACTACAATACAAGGAGATCTGCAAGCGGGATCTGAAGGCCTTAGGAATGGACCTCAACAGATGGGAAACCCTGACATCGGAGCATTCCGCCTGGAGGCAGGCGGTGCATCACGGCCTCTCCCAATTTGAAGAGACCCTTGTCCAGCAGGCCGAGGCAAAGAGGCAGTCACGAAAGCAGCAAAATCAGGGAGCTGGAAAGGGGACAGATGGTATTTGTCTTCAGTGTGGAAGGGATTGTCTCTCTCGAATTGGCCTTCTCAGCCACACTACATGCTGTTCCAAGATCTCTATTCAGAGCACATTACCCCAGTCTCTTGAGACTGAAGGATGCCTACAGTAATTCGGACGCTGTTCCAAGTCCTCTATTCAAAACACATTACCACAGTCATTCAAGACTGAAGGATGCCTACAACAATTCACAAATATGGATGAAGCTGCCCAAGAGGAGACAAACCTTGCTTGAGACAGCAGACTGGACCATTTGCAAGAAAACAATTGCTCCTCTACCATCTTTCAAGTCTTTTTCTTTAACTGATTCTTTTCTTCTCTTTTTCTTCAAGCACATATTCAGGTCACATTCAGGATACAAATTAATGTGTGTTGCTCTGTGCATAAATAAAGGACACGTTCAGATGCACCAGGTGGCTGGAATCTTATATCCGGCCAGCCTCCGTTTTCCAGCATACCTCCTCACATTTCCAGAACCCTACATGTCTGGGTTTGGGTTTGAGCGCATGGTGTGAAAAGCCAGGATACGAAACCCAATAACCCTCTTTGTGCTCTCCCTCAACATGGCTCAGGTTTTTCCCCCCCCCCCCCCCCCGGCTGCATTTGCATGACAGCTTTCTAGGGTGTAATTTTAGCCCACTTGGGCAGAAGCATGACACTGAACAGGCAGAGGTCTCCCAAGCAACGAGTTAGGTTAGGTGAGGAAGCTGGATGGTCAAACTGTGCATCTGGCAGTGGCTTATGCCCCCTCCCCAGCCCCAAGTTTGAAGGGCCAGGAATAGAAAGGGGAAGTTTAGCACCTAAAGCACAGCAGACTTTGTTTGAACGCAGATGGCTCCTAACTAAGTTAACATCTGTTTAGAACATGTGGAGGACTGCAGCCAAAGTTCTGAAGCATGCTCTCCCCCATGGTCTGCATTTACTACTGGAGGGGATCCATAAGCTTGGTGATGAGCTACAAGTGATAAAGTTCCCCAGTAATTTTTGAGTCATAGTGGTGTAACAAAGTTATATTTCAAAAATATAGTGGCTGACATCCAGTAAGAAGTTGCAATTGGAACAGGCTAATTGGATCAAGAGAGTTTGAGCAACGCCATTCCTCTTCAAGTCCCATTCATTCAGTGGGTCTACTCTAGTTGTGACTCACTACTGGATTTCTGCCAATGAGCAGGAACAGAGTTACTCTACTGCTATATAACAAGCAAATTTTGGAAGTTTCTTTTTGCGAATATCCCATGGCATTCTGCTTTTTCAAGTTTCGTAACATATTCTGAGCAATTCTAGTTTTTATTTCCTTTTTAAAAAATAATTATGTTGTGAAGAAGGAATGTGTAATGCAAGTAAAGCAACAAATTCGTTTTCCATCATGGTAACAGGTTCCTCTTCAAATATTTTCAGGAGCAACAGGAAAGCATTTTTAAAAACTTTCTAAGCTCTAAGATAGAAACAAGTCCACTTAGCATATTTTGGAAAATTATACTAAACTGAGTACACAGAGAGGAAGTATACATAGCCTTGCATTATGATTTTTGCTATTAGAAAGCTTGCAGGAAAAAAAAAACAGACAAATACACAACGTTAAAACTCCATGCACTGTAACTGATTATAGTTCTTGTTAAAATTATCTCGCCAAAAGGAGATGGCCAAATAGTATAACCAAGGCTTTTAAGACTAAGTACATAAACTGCTACACTGCCCAACCATGAACACCATGAGCTAATTTTGTTCTAATTTGCAAGCGTCTAGCAGGTGACACTCGAGTTACTGAAGCAACCTTTGGCTCTCTCCATTGACTCAAAGACACACTATTTTTCATGCATTGAATACTTTGCCATTTCTGGGTACTAGAGATCCCATTGTTTAGTTACAGGGAATCACTGCAGGAGAGATGGTGGTAAACACCTGAACTAGCAATTGCAGCTCACAGCTTCTTGGAAAATTGAGAGCAGCTTAGCTTGATGCAGGAGACTATGAATTACAGAGGCTGGAAAGTTACCTTTTTAAAAAATAAGCAATTCGTTATGTAACTTACTGAAAACTAACATATGGGGAATAACAAATCATCATGCTTCTTGTGCTGTTCCTTGTATTCCTCTCCCCCCTGTTTTTAGCATTTTGGTAACAGGAGAAGGATCCTCCTAATTATGTGAGGGAATGATGCACAAATTGAAGGGGGAAAACCCGACCCTAAATGCTCAAGGAAAATCATTTAACACTCCGACTCCTCCAGAAAACAACAAATAACAAACAACGCTGGAGGCATTCAAGAGGAAATTAGACAGCCATCTGTTAGATTATGTCATTGTTCATTCAAGAGGAAATTAGACAACCATCTGTTAGATTATGTCATTGTTACCATCCCAATCTTTCACAGTGGGCATGTCAGTTTGTTTCAGCCTATATGACAAAAACTAAACAAAAATCAGAAGGATGGTGGCACGTTTTGGACCAACAGATTCATTCCAGCATGCATTGTCATGCATTACAATCCACTTCCTCAGATATATGCAGTACCCTTGTGTACAGCTGAGGCATTGAAGAAGGATACAGGCATCTTTTGAAAGTTCCTCACTTGAAGCTGCATTCCATTTTACCCGGTCTCCAACCCCATAACAATGTACACCACTTATATCAACTTGGAGCCTAAATGTTGTCCTCCACGAATTTGAGTACATCCATTATAATCCATGAATGACCCATGCTGAAACTTGCTTCCCCTTAAAGATGCCACATGACCACTGTTTGGGTTTGATCGTGCGTCTAAGCTCTGGTGAACTGCAATGTTTCTGTTCTTCAAGAGAACAGGATTAAGATGAACAGGAAGGCAGGGCTTTGTCCATTCCTATCAATACAATTTTCTTCTCAGTTTCAGAAGCTAAACAAGGTCAGGCCTGGTTAGCACTTGGATAAGAGAATATCAGGGATTTCCCAGTAGTTCTGGGAAATAATCCTTTCTGAAATTCAAGAGACCTGCTACCAGTATTGAACTACGTGGACCAATGATCTGACCCAGCACAAGGCAGCTTCATCTGTTTCAGGGAATTGAACTTTTGGTGATGATCAGTAGCCTTTTTTGTTGAGTCCTCAGATTGGCTCATACCAGCTTCCTCCTAGTCCACTCTAAATGGGTAGCACTATATGTGTCTGAAAGAACCTCTTGTAACTTATCTTTCTTTCTCCATCTCTACAAACTAACCACCATGAACTACCCATCCAATTAGTGTTTTCCAGCTTTTCGGATCTGTGAAGAACACCTGGGCTTGGCAAAACTAGTCAGAAACCATGACGTTTTGCACCAGAAAAAAAAAGAAGAAGAGATAAATAGCAACATTTCTTGAGCAGCCATGGCAACCTACGAAATGAGGTCAAGATGTGGGGGACAGATAACCGGCCTCGGAAAAGGCTGCTTGTCTGTCAGAAGCTCTGACAAATGTGTCAGGTTTAAGCTTCTGTCAAAATGCATCGCTTTCTCTGTGAAGAAAAGGCAGAGATCTCACCAGAGAGCAGCACTTCTTGAGTGATGTGGAAAACACCAAAAACCATTCTCATTGCCAAGCAAGCTATCAGCAACTCAGGATCATGACCACCCAAGTTCTGTTTCCCCTTGTCCTTAATTTACTACAGGAATAAATAATAATAAAAACACTGAACCCAGAGGATCTTTCTCTACTCACTGTGTATTTTTATAATTCATTTCATGTTTACAAAGTGCTGTGAATACATTGATCTGATCATTCTCTATCTGTACTTATTAATAGTTTTTTGTTATCATTCCATGCTCTAAACTAATACTCTGTCTGAATTGTTCTATAATTCCTGCATCCTTTTTATTATATTTAATTACTTCCTGTTCCATATTTCTTTCCAATAACAGTTTATACAACTTTGCAATTTGATGATTTTCTTTTTCCCATATTATCTTGTCTAGTTCCGTAGGTTCTTTAACCAATCCAATTAATTTATTATCTCTTTTCATTCTTTCTGACACCTGTCTGTGTCCAATAAACAAACAAACAAACAAACAAACAAACAAACAAATAAATGCTAAAGGGCATGGCAAACCAGATGTCCATACATGCTAAGTAAACCTACATTGAGCACCTTACCTGTGTAACCAGCCAGAGCAGCAGCAGGAATGACAGGTTTGTCCTTGTTCATGTCGGCCCGGTCTCGAACATAGTCCTTGAAGGTGCCTTTGGGCTTGTGGTTGGGTAAGGCAACTGGATAGTCCTCAGAGTCAAAGCTGTCATAAGAAGGGACACGTTGGAGGCTCTGGAAAGATGACTGGCTACTCCAGGATTGTGTCAGCCGATCACAGCTGTCATAGCTCTCTATGCTTTCAAAGGAATCCTGGCCCCCAAGTTTACCTGCAAGATGAAGAGAAAATGAGGTTCATAGCCAACCTGTAATGGAGGAGCTAACCCATCTTTTGATGCAGACAAAGGGAACTTCAACATTTGCATCTCTTCTTCTTATAGCATCCCAAGTCATTTGTTTCTTCCTTCACCATCTTCTTTAACACAGATCCTGGTTTCTGTTTGTTTGCTGTCTTGTAGTGCAGAGGTTCTGAAACTTGCATGTCCAGATGTTGCTGGAGGTCAGCTCCCAGAATTCTTGACCATACTGATGATGAATACTGGGCTTCTGGGAACTGAAAGCCAACAACATCTGTATATGTAAGTTTGGGGTCCATTATTATAGAGTAAGCAAGAAATATAGCCCAGGGGAAAGCCAGGCAAAATAAAGAGATGGAACTTAGGCAGAAAGATAGACTTGATTCTTCATGGCTTCTACTGAACCCAGAAAGACAGGATGAGAAAATAGGCTACCACTGATATCCACGGTTCCTTTCTGCTTCCTCCAATGCCCTAGAACCTATGGAGATACTAGAAACGATGCTTTGTATCCAGAAAATCCACAGTTCATTCCACAACACCTGAAATTAACAGGATCCAGTAGTATGCAATGAAACAGTCCTTGCGCAAGACCATGGGGAGGTGTTGTGTATCAGTATGCAATCACTTGCTGAATGAAATTAGCAATATTCTGACCTGGGATAAAAAAGCATCCTGCATTCCCGTCATTGCTGTTATTTGCCAACTCATGGTGACTCAATCAATTGATGTTTTGGAAGAGGTAAACATGTTCTTCTGTGCAAGCCTATCAGGCAAGATCCAAAGAAACAAAACAAGACAAGACAAAAATATATGGCACCTTAAAGACTAACTGTTATATTTGAATATGAGCTGTCATGGACACATCCACTTCATCAGACATATGGAAACATAATGAAATGTATAAGCCAAACTACTGCATGTAACTGTTCTGTACACCCAAGATCCAATGAATATTTAGTATGAAACTGATATTTCATTCAACATTTCATTCTGTTTCTCATGTCTGATGAAGTGGACATGTCCATGAAAGCTCACATTCAAATATAACAGTTAGTCTTTAAGGTGACATGTTTCTGTCTTTTGTTTTGTTTCATTTCCTTGGATTTTGAATTGATGACCTCCAAAATCTTCTTTCTCAGATTTTGCACACAAGGGATATTTTTTTTCTATATTGACAACAAGTCCTTCATATTCTGGGTATATGCTCAGCAACCTCCAGGCTGTTTGCTTTATTGTGGTATTTTATATGCTGTCTTTAGTCATTATTGCTTATAATTTAAAAGATATTTTAATGTATCGTGCACTGCACAGAGATTATCAGGTATTCAAAGCACTCTAACATCGAAGAACATTTAATGGCTTCCCAACATAAGCTTCTTTTGCTGACTGTGTTGCCCTATATGGGCATATTTATATGCTTTTACTCTTCAACAAACTTAATCTGCATACTTGGCTATGGCGGCCACCACCACTATCATCTGGGAGTCCCTAGCCCCTTTCTCATTTCTGGAAGGTAAAAAAAGGAGCAATGCTATATGATCCAGGAGGGCCCTCTAGTCTAGCAGTCAGTGGAGAATTTTGTGCAAAGATATCAAGAAACATGGTATCCACCACAGAATTTTCATGGTTGTAGTAGCAAACCTGGCATAGCCCCTGGTGGGTTTGAGACAGCCCTTCTCAACCCCCCCAGATGCCCACACTTCTATGAGCTGAAGCAAGTAGTTGAAGAACGTGGGCACCTACCTTTACTACTTCCTCATAACCCTTATGTATTTCTCCAAACTAGCAGAGATATGATTTATTCCTGTCACTACATTGGAAACTAAACTGCTCAACCCTAGTATGTCTGTCAAGACATGTCATTTTATACCATCTAAAGGTTTAGATCCCTATTTAAGTTCAGATATCAAAAAAGAGATTTAAAAATTAGCACGCCAAGAAGGGAGGGAGGGAGAGAGGGAAGTTAATACACTGGATTCTTCAGCACTCTGGCTGTTGCTCAATCGTTCCTCTTATTTTTTTACTGATAAAGTTAGAGTGTAATAGGATCATTCAAGTTCATTAATTTCCAAAAGGCATGTTTAAAAAAAAAAGCTGCTTGGATTGCGTAAGATCTTCTTGAGAAATTTCCCCCAGTAGAGATGCTGGCAGCTAAGGTCCGGACAGTACATTTCAAGGGCAGAGGGAGACATTTGTAATGAAATATTTGCCCAAATCTCTCTTTCTATCTCAGTCATGCATGCAAGAGTGGGTGGAATCACCCACTTGAGACGGCTGAAAGAACTTGCCTGCTCTTCTTCAAAAGCTAGAGGGTTTGAATTTTGGGTGCCATCTCTTCCTACATGTTCTGTACCTCTTGGAAACTTAAGGGCATTGTTACAATGCCTTGGAGAATCTCTGCCAAGCAGAGGAAGCAGTGCTGGGTGAGCAAAGCAAAACAAAACAAAACAAAACAAAACTGGTTTGCTTCAACGTATGTGGTTGCCCAGCCTGTGTATAGAGAGTACAGTCAAGCTATCTGTAAATAATCAGTTACTTGTAATCAATTACTTTTTTCAATAACTAAGGGGCATAACTAAGTTACTCTACCATTGTCATGTAACAAGAGATAGTCACTGCTCTTGCATTATAATTGAAACTGTGTTTCTTGCCTTCTGTACCATTCTTCTTGCTGTCTTCCCTCACATTGGGTCAATCAAGGTGTTCTGGAGTACAATCTCCATCATCCTCAGCCAGAAGGGTCAAGAGTGATGGGGTTTTTAGCACCAATCATTGTCTGTAACCTAAGTTAGGGAAAGTTGTCCTACACCTTTTGCACGCTAGTGATTTCCTGTACAGTACAAGCATTATACGAGCAACAGCTGCCCCTTTCGGTGCATCATGAGTATGGAATGGAGACAAGTGGTCCATTTGGAGAGAAGATAAAGACTGTTCTTAAGAGTGGCTTCTAAACAGCCATAGGGCAGCCCTTTCAATTGCTAACTCCAACCAAGATGGACACAACGGTTAGAACCCTACTGCTTGTTACCACCTGCTGAAATGAAATTGGAGGAGGCAATAAGCTGACAAAACGCCAGGCACACAACCGTGTGTCCGCCATCTTGTCAAGTAGCCACAGCAGCTTTCATGATTCTAGTTAAATTACAGTACATCATAAGTATGAAACAACCATGTGATGCACTTGGGCAGAAATTAAAGGCAATTCTTAAGAGTGTTTGAAAAAGAAACTTTTGACCCCTGAATCAGTTACAGAGATATGTCAACACTTATGTAAATTCCATTGAGTCAATGGGCCTGCCATACTGGGGGACAAGCAATCCAATTGCTAGTTGCCACTTGTGTGTGCCAAAATGGGAATAGGGTCCTTTAGGGGGAGGTTCTAAGCATTGTTGGTTTTTCAAAAAAACAACAAGCATTGTAAAAAATTACCTCGGCCACCACGTGCCATGCACATATCCGGTGTCCCAATTTCCTGCTTGATTGTGAAGTAGTCTGTTGGCAAGGATTCATGCACAGGGTCGCGATGGATGACTGATGGGTACTCGTTCTCATATTTGAGGGACAGAAGCTCCTCAGAGCTGATTGGATGAAGGGTCTGGTAGGACTCTGTAATAAAACTGGGCTCAGAAAATTCTGATGGAGGGACACACTGAGCATGCTCAATGCCATAGCCTGCAAGTAGAAAGAAGAGCATGAACTAATAAGGTACTCACTGCCGAAGTGTCAGAACAGTCAAAAGCAGATGATTGGCACCATGAAGGTTATGCCAGTGAAATACTCAGAAGGGTTGGTGAGGAGAATTTATGCAATTTTGTGCACATCCACACATCCACACTTATACAGTTATAGCACTTTGGTACCATTTTAACTGCCATGGTTGCATCTTATGGAACCTGGTGAGTTATGAATAAGATTTGTTCAACTGAATGGTAACTTAAAACTTAATAATGTTACATATTTAACTAAATGTATCTGAGGACTTTGATGGGTTTATGGCATATGGCCATCTCTGTTGCTGACCGGCTTGACACTCACAACACATAAGAGAGGCAGAGCTCCTGGATCAGACTGTACCATAAAGCTTCATTTTATTTCCTGACATGTCCATGTATTCACCCTTAGTGTGAAAAGAAAATTAGAGGAAGCTTATATCAGGCAGATGTATTTGCTCATTTCATTCACTAATGTCAAGGTTCACAAGGAACTGAAAGTCACAGCGAATCCTGGTTTTAATAGAAATGAAGTGTATGTGCACACCATTCACTTTCACTTAGCCTGTTTCAATTAGCATGAGTGTGTGATCAAACAAGTAGCCAAGGTTTCCTTAGTAAGTTATTCAAACCTAGAATCCTGGCTTGTAAAGAAGCTAGGTTTCACAAGTGAAAAATAAAACCAGGTTTAAAGTCTGAATGTTTAAGAGCAACAATCCAGTATCCTCCTTTGGAGATTACTTACAAAGATCACTCTTGGACTCCAGTTGGAGCCAATGGATTATTTCTGATAAGCCAGGATTGGCCCAAATCCCGACTTTAAGCTCCTCAAGGATGCAAGGAGCTCATAGCTGGGATGGAGAGTTGGTTTTCCATCACTTGCTACGTGATCTTTTTACCTCGTCATGCTAGGACTAAACTGGAACTTTCCACATACAAAACACATGTTGTGTGTCTTTTTTTAAAAAATGGAGAGTTGGTTTTCCATCACTTGCTACATGATCTTTTTACCTGGTCATGCCAGGGCTAAACTGGAAGTTTCCACATACAAAACACATGTTGTGATTTTTTTAAAACTGAACTATGGTTCCTCATCTGATTTTACTCCAATTCTCTCTGGACCCGACATTCCAACACTTGCTTCCAATCAAGAGATTATGTGGTGCTCTGGAGTCCCACATTCTATCTGCATGATGAAATTATTTTATTCTTCACACAGAAGATCTGATCCTGGATCAATTAGCAGGGATGGAGTGGAAAAATAAGACTTACTAATGAAGTAGTCTGATGTGTAGCGGGATTCTGGGAAAGCTGCATTTGTCCCATTCGCTGGATATGGCTTTATGTCTTCTGCATCAAGAAGGGGGAAAGGAAGAAGTACATCAAGTCATATTTGGATACAAGAGCTTGTGTCCCCCCTCCCCACAGTACCACAGTATCCAATGCATTACAGTTTGTTTAGACTGTCTTTAGTAAAATAGGACCAACTGAGATATCACTTCAACAAAACACAGTAATGGACCATTTCAGTTGTGGCATGGTGGGATAGCGTAGAAAACAGCACGCAACCTAGATGAAGAACAATATACAGTGGTGCCTCGCATAGCGAGGTTAATCCGTTCCGGATTAACCCTTGGTATGTGAAAACATCGCTGAACAGATCAAGAAAACCCATTCCAAATGGGCCAAAACCTCACTGTTCAACGATGTTTTCCTATGGCCGGCAGCCATTTTCGCGCCCTCCCCTCGCTTACCGAGGGCGCGAAAACGCTGCGCGTGGCCATTTTGGGGCTTCCGCCGGCCATTTTGGAGCCACCGAACAGCTGATCCGTGGGTTGCAAAGTGAAGGTCGGTAAGTGAAACGCTTACCGACCTTCGCTATGCGAGTTTCACCCATTGGGGCCATCGCTTTGCGATTGCAGTTGCGATCGAAAAAAACCCCTCTCTATGCGTATTCGTCGTTCTACGGTGCGCTCGTTAAGTGAGGCACCACTGTATATGATGACTTTACACATATGTCTGTTCTGTTCTGTGTACTGCATGCCCTGTGGAGCCTTGACATGGTATATTTAAGAGAAAATAAGTATACATATTGGTGAACAGGATGAAAAGATGCCTTTTTTTAAAAAAACAGAAGGTACATATTACCTCTTGCAACCCTGAGGACTTAAGGCAGTGATACTACAACATGTTTACATTTTATGAAATCTAAAATCAATGAACTGATGGGTGTCATTTAAAGACGATTATCATGCTTAGAACCATGTCCTGAGATGTCCTTGGTCAAATTCATCAAGACAAATTAGGTCGTGCTAGGAGAGCTACCTTATGTACAGTACTATCCCAATTACTTCTATTAAAACACCTCCTCAGCCCTGCCAGCTATTTCAAAATCTATCGGCCAGGAGTGAATCACCTACCACAGAGACATATAACAGGGACAAAAACAGCAGCAAAGCAGGACCTTTTTAAAATCTTCCTACATTTGGGCATACACAAGCTTTTTTTAAATTTAAAATAACCCTCGCCCCACTTCCCAGCCATCAGTCGTGCCCTCCATTTGACTGCTATCCCAGAGGAAAGCTGACCACAGCAACCTGATTCTTTCCCCCCCCCTTCTTTGTGGTCACCCCACCCCTGTGCTTTGGCAGACCTTGCCGGGAAGGGAAAGGGTACAAACGCTCAGCCTTTGGAGTTCACACAGGACACCATTTAGTTCAGATATATCTTCCCCTCCTTCTGCAATTCCCAGGAGGGGCAACCAAAATTAGATCCTTTTCTGAATGAATGTGCAAAATCTCTGGCCAGCTTCTGTCTGGACTCAGCAGAAATAAACAAGAGTTGCAGTCACTCTCCTTTCTGTTGCTGTTGTTCTTTTCGCGCTCGTTATAACTGGCAAACAAATGATGTAATGCAAGAGAGTGAAGGGTCACAGAAGGAAGGTCTCCATTTAAAGCAAGGAAGTGTCTTGATGGGAAAAAGCCTATGCACTTAGACCAGTGGTGCTCATTCAGAGAGGTCCAGAAGTTGCTGAGTGCCCATAATCCTTGACTATGGGCCACGGTGGTTGAGTCCACTAGATATATGTGTCCATGTTCTTGACAAATTTCTGCCTGATTATTGACAAACCCCATACTTACTCCATTTGATAGGAGGGCGGAGCCTTTAATAGTAAAAAAAAAAATCCCAGATGGATTGCTTGTTTGTTTTTGCATTTTAACATTAATGCTAACACAATATGCTTTTTGGTGTAATGAGTAATATATGTGTTCATTATTCTGTAAGGGACTCAACAGGAGCAGGGATCTGTAACCATTTCATAAGGTTTTCCTAATTCACAATTAATTTAAAAAGAATGAACTTGTGAAACAGTTGTTGTTTAGTTGTTGTCATGTCCAACTCTTCGTGATCCCATGGACCAGAGCACGCCAGGCCCTCCTGTATTCCACTGCCTCCTGGAGTTGGGTCAAATTCATCTTGGTAGCTTCAATGACACTGTCCAACCATCTCGTCCTCTGTCGTCCCCTTCTCCTCCTGCCTTCACACTTTCCCAACATCAGGGTCTTTTCCAGGGAGTCCCCTCTTCTCATGAGATGCCCAAAGGATTGGAGCCTCAACTTCAGGATCTGTCCTTCCAGTGAGCACTCAGGATTGATTTCCTTCAGAATGGATAGCATTGATCTCCTTGCAATCCAGGGGACTCAAGACTCTCCTCCAGCACCATAATTCAAAACGATCAGTTCTTCAGTGGTCAGCCTTCTTTATGGTACAGCCCTGACTTCCATAAATCACTACAGGAAAAAACCATAGCTTTGCCTATGTGGACCTTTGATGTCTCTGCTTTTTAAGATGTTATCTAGGTTTGTCACCGCTTTCCTCCCAAGAAGCAGGCGTCTTTTAACTTTGTGGCTGCTGTCTCCATCTGCAGTAATCATGGAGCCCAAGAAAGTAAAATCTGTCACTGCCTCCATATCTTCCCCTTCAATTTGTGAGGAGGTGATGGGTCCACTGGCCATGATCTTTTTTCTTTCTTTTTTTTTTTTTTTTTGATGTTGAGCTTCAGACCATTTTTGCACTCTCCTCTTTCACCCTCATTATGAGGTTCTTTAATTCTTCCTCACTTTCTGCCATCAGAGTGGTATCATCCGCTGGACTGGATGAATCCCAAACCAGAATTGAGATTGCTGGAATAAATATCAGCAACCTCAGATATGCAGATATATGTGAAATGGTACCTCCTCCAAATTGTGACTAATGTTAACGTGTTACAGAATTCAAACATGAGAAGGAATGTGGATCACAACTTTTGCAGAGCACTCATTGATGTACAATACAGCGCTTAATCCTTCCAGTTTAGTCTGCAAATTTCAGATTTACATGTTTCATAGGACAGAAGAGCATACATTGGCAGAACACGGGAAGCTGATTTATACAATGGAGTCAAATTGTTAGATCCTCCAACTGGGTCTTGTTTTCACCAAGTTTGGTCGAAATACAACCTACCAGAGGTTGGTGGTCTGTAATCCCCATAATTCCCTCAACATCTGCTATGTCAGTTAGAGTTGATGGGACCTTTGTCCACTCCATTAGCAATGGCTCTGCAGTTTGGCACAGCAGTCCTTTCCAGCCCTATCTGAAGATGCTAAAGGTGAGTCCTTCTGCACACAAGGAATGTGCCACTGACTTATAGACCTTCATTTAAATCCTATTAGAAGTCACCAAAGACTTCTAATTTATGCCTACTACATAAATTTAACTTACGGACGGCTCGACTTACAGACTTTTTGCGTTACAGACTTCTCTGGCCGCAAAATTTAGATTCGACTTGCAGACGGAGAATCAACTTAACAGACCAGAAAAAAACCAAAATGGAGCAAAAATAGAATAAAAACTGCCAGTTATGGGATTAATCGGTTTTCAATGCATTGTAGGTCAATGGAGACTCGACCTACAGACTTTTCGACTTGCAGCCACCGTTCCAATACAGATTAATTCCGTAAGTAGAGGATCCACTGTACTACATAAATTTGTGCACTTCCCCCAGAATTATCAACTTCTTTCATGGCAAATTACCTATCTTTGCAGGACTGAATGAATATCAAAAGCAGATGCATGTTGTTTAGTGCTCAGATGCTCATGGAAATGTAAGCTTCAGAATCTTGTATTCCCCCCCCCCTTTCTCTGGTCAGAATACTATTAGCATTCACAGAGGGGTTGAATAACTTACAGTGACTAATTGATGAAGTGCTCGGCTGGGTGTTGAGTGTGCAAATTGGGTGCATGAACAGGTACACAACCAACAGGAAGGAGTTCAGCACCTTGTCAATTAGCTGTGGCAAGCCATGCAGTCCTTCTACAAATACCAACAGGACGTCAACCTCTTATGACTTATATCTTGTGCTATACATAAGGGGTTGGGGTCAACCTCTTATGACTTATATCTTGTGCTATACATAAGATATAAGTCATAAGAGGATGAACGCAACTGTAAATATATAGGCTATCAATTGAGAAGACAAGCACAGATCCCACAACTATGTTTAGCTCCAGAAAGCCACAAGCGGAAGTCAAACAATTCATGTGGGTTTCATGCAAGTCAAAAATAAATAAATAAAAATTAAAACAGTAATATGACTTATATCTTGTGCTATACATAAGATATAAGTCATAAGAGGATGAACGCAACTGTAAATATATAGGCTATCAATTGAGAAGACAAGCACAGATCCCACAACTATGTTTAGCTCCAGAAAGCCACAAGCGGAAGTCAAACAATTCATGTGGGTTTCATGCAAGTCAAAAATAAATAAATAAAAATTAAAACAGTAACCGCTCTCAATCCTGCTACCCAAAAGAGGATAATAAATACCTGTGTCCACCCATCACATTAACCTCCAAAATGGTTTGTACTGCAAATATCTTTAGTGGGTTTGTTCTGTTTACAACTGTTTCACTTTGCTCATTTTATTGTGCAGACATGTGTACGACTCTGTTTCGCAGAGTTTAGCCAGTAGAATCTAGGAATAGCAAGAGTGTTCCTATCCTATTTTACAAAGGAGTCTTTAGTAATATGTATCAAAATGTTTCTGGTTTGTAGCAAAGGGCAACTATTTCTAACCTCATGCCTCTTCACACATATACAGTGGTGCCTCGCATAGCGAGGTTAATCCGTTCTGGATTAACCCTCGCTATGTGAAAACATCACTGAACTGATCAAGAAAACCCATTGTTTAATGCGTTCCAAATGGGCCGAAAACTCACCGTTCAGCGATGTTTTCCTATGGCCGGCAGCCATTTTTGCGCCCTCCCCTCGCTTACCGAGGGCGCGAAAACGCTGCGCGCTGCCATTTCAGGGCTTCAGGTGGCCTTTTTGGAGCTGCCGAACAGCTGATCCGCAGGTCGCAAAGCGAAGGTTGGTAAGCGAAACGCTTACCAACCTTCACTATGCGAGTTTCGCCCATTGGGGCCATCGCTTTGCGACCGCAAAAAACCCCTCGCTATGCGGATTCGGCATTCTACGGTGCGCTCGTTAAGAGAGGCACCACTGTACTCTATTTGTGTCTTTTTGAGCACAGACTGTATTTGCACAGTTTAGTGAAATGCTAGATGTTATTGACCTGTACCATGGATTTCTAGAAAGACAAGTAAGTGAATTCTAGATCAACCCGGAACACTCCCTAGAAAGAAAAATGACTAATCAGAAGCTATTGTACTTTGGACACATAATGAGAAGATAAGACTTATTGGAAAAGACAATAGTGCTGGGAAAAGTTGAAGGCAAAAGGAAAACTGGAAGACTAAGTGATGGCTTGACTAAATAAAGTTACAACTTTAAATATGGAAGAAGAGCAAGAGTGTTCAACCAGGTCCTGCTGGAGATCCTTAATTCACTGGATTGCTGTAAATCAGAAGTGTCTTGAAAACACATAAGACAACACACGCATGCTAGGGAACCTCAGAAGTTAGACACTCATCATCATACATTACCTTTCTGTAGGATCTCCAGATGTTCCCAGAGAATATCTCCTACAAAGTCTGGAGCCAGCTCAAGGAAGCAGTCCTTGCCTAAGGCACATAGGGCAGCTCCATTCATACAGAACTTCTGGAAGTCCACACCTTTCAGACTGAACTCATTCACTGCCCACATCACCCAGTCTCGTACGTGGGTCTCTGTCCATTGCTGAGGATCTGCACCAAAAATCCACAAATCAGAGTAATTCCAATGAAGATGTTGCAGGTTCCATCTCACATTGCTATAGCATCCCATGGAGAACAGCTGGACAAGCCGCAGTCATAATCCTTTGCTAAATTGAGCTTTGCAGAATTATATCTGGGCTAGGCCTTCCCGGACCTTACAACACCTTAATATAACATCTTAATACAGTGATTGGTCTTAACATTTATCCTATCACTCTTGTTGTCCTGCTCTATATTATTTTACATATGCAAATTTAAATTTTTGGTTGTTTATTCTTTTGATTTCATTCTATCATGTTTATTTTTTGGAATTGCTTAATATGTAAATCACCCAGAGTGGGTAGCCAGATACAACACCTTAATATAACATCTTAATACAATGATTGGTCTTAACATTTATCCTATCAGTCTTGTTGTCCTGCTCTATATTATTTTATATTATTTTACATATCATTATTTAAATTTTTGGTTGTTTATTCTTTTGATTTCATTCTATCATGTTTATTGTTTGGAATTGCTTAATATGTAAACCGGTAGGTAGGTAGGTAGGTAGGTAGGTAGGTAGGTAGGTAGGTAGGTAGGTAGGTAGGTAGGTAGGTAGGTAGGTAGGTAGGTAGGTAGGTAGGTAGGTAGGTAGGTAGGTAGGTAGGTAGGTAGGTAGGTAGGTAGGTAGGTAGGTAGATAGATAGATAGGTAGGTAGGTAGGTAGATAGATAGGTAGATAGGTAGATAGATAGGTAAATAGGTACATAGGCAGATAGGCAGATAGGTAGGTAGATATCTTCTGGTAAATCATGCAGTCTTCTTTTGACAATATTCAATATGTGATGTAGACCCTTTCAAACATAACCACATAAGGTCACAATGCACATATTCCAGTATATGTCTATCTAACAACTTATAGCCAAGGTTGAGTAAGATCTTGTCCAGAGACTCTAGTGATTCCTGGATTTCAGAGACTCTTGCTAGAGCTTTCATGTTGTCTATGGTGTCTTCAATAATATTTGCCTCCCCAGTGTAAGAAAAAAATGCTGGACTGGATAGATCATTCTCACAACCCATCTATACAGTTCTTACGTCATACACTCTTCTTATTCAACCCTCTTATCAATAGAGTCCATGCAGCACATATATAAGTGCATGGGAGGAATTCTGGCTGCGTAAAATAGCTTTCCTGGCATGCTGACAGACTGATTATACATTTAAGTTATTACACAACTTTCTGGTGTTAATATTAAGCTTCATTATTGAGGTTGGGTTGCTGCAAACTGTCTTCCTTCCATGCAATTACAATTAATTAGTTACTCAGTGAATGGGCTAAAACATATATAATTGTTTTGCTGCAATTTCTTTACTTCAATGACCCCCCCTGTGCATTTGTGCCATTCACATTATTTTGCTTCCCACAAATTAAATGCAATAGTCATATCATAAATGCTACATATGAAATAGCTACAGAAATATTTAGAAACTGTGCTGTAGTCCTTCAGCAGAAAGGGTGAGAAAGGTTTCCTCAAACTTTCTCAGCAAATCTTCAGCATATGGTACCAAACTAAATGTTTCATACCTTTGGGAATTCCCAATCGTTGTTGTTCTTTCGCGAAGCCACTGAAGGTGGCTTTTAATGCTTGTGACATCATTTCTTTGCTGCTTGGCGTTAACAAAGGCACATCCGCACATTCCATATCTGGAAGAGAGAAGGAGGTGGGAAAACAGATATGAAGAGACGAAGTTGACACAGCTGGTAAAAAGATCACCACGGAGCAGCAAAATCAAGGTTGATGGCAGGGATGGTGATGATCATGGACCAGAAGCCAAGTCTTGAAAGACTTATGATGGCTATCTACTTGAGGACCACCCAAGCTCATTTCCTTTGCTTCAGTACATTTTCATTTGCTATACACTTGCATGATTTGGCATCAGTAAAAGTGGTCAAAATGGACATGAACTTAGTCTGATGGCTTCCATATTGCTCATGCTGTCTTATAAAACTTTGGTTCTATCAACAAATTTAGGTCAACGAATTTTGCTGGCAGAAGATAAAAAATAGCTCATGTAAAAAAATCCAACAAACAACCAAATCTTTGGTTGTTGTGGGTTTTTTGGCTGTGTTCTGAAGGTTGTTCTCCCTAACGTTTCGCCGGTCTCTGTGGCCAGCATCTTCAGAGGACAGCACTCTGTGCTCTGGACTCCTATAAAGTAAAATGAGCATCTCACAGAGTGCTGTCCTCTGAAGATGCTGGCCACAGAGACCGGCGAAACATTAGGAAGAACCACCTTCAGAACACAGCCAAAGAGCCCGAAAAACCCACAACAACCATTAGATGCTGGCCGTGAAAGCCTTCGCGAATACAAGCCAAATCTTTCTTCAGCCCTATGGGACAGCATTACTGCACCTAAATAGGATAGGATAGGTTAGGAAGCACAGGATAAGCTGTATGACACACAGCTACAAGACCTCACTGTCAGACCCAGCATCTCCCACCTGAGTTGAGTGCCTCATGCTGTCTAACAACAAGGCCACCTCCATCTGTAAAGTAACATGGTTTCCAGTAGGATGTTTTATCAAGCTGTTTATGAGCTAATTATCTTCCCAGAATATTTCCATATTCTATCAATGCAATCATCATGACCTACTTCTGTTTATGAGCTAATTATCTTCCCAGAATCTTTCCAACTTATTCTATCAATGCAATCATCTTGACCTACTAGTGATGTTACAGGACCATTTGAGAAACCAACACTTTCCATTCAGGTTTATCAATGAGAGGCCAGATGATAAAGGAGAATATATATAGGCTGCTGCCTTAAAGGGAAAAGCTGTAAAACTTATTTACTAAAAGAAATAATAACTAGAAAGCAAGTTGGTGTGGGAGATTTTTGCTTTGTGTTGGGTCTTGCCTTGTTTTCAAGCATATAGATGTATTCTCAGAATACCATCGTCATGTGCCACCAAGTAAATTATGTTACATCTCTTACATCTTCTGGACTTTGCAAAAGAGAGAGAGAGGGGCCCCTCAAAGTGCTACAAATCTTCAGTTGTCATCACTCTGCAGAGTTCACCAAGAAAGTAAACACACACACACACACACACACACACACACACACACACACACACACACACAGCTGCAGCAGAAGGAGCTCAAGGAGGAGGAGCAGGAGACAAATCTGCACACCAGCTGGTTCAAGGGAGGCCCTCCATCCTGATGCAACACACACACACACACACACACACACCACAAAGCTGTGGGAAACGTTATCCGCAAAGTATCGGAAAATAAGCAACAGATTCCACACTGCTTAAAGACTGTTATTTGGACATTTAGAAGATTTTATGAGCAAGGATCTGGAGAAATAAACATGCAACCCACCCACCTTTGCCATCCATCTTAAGTTTTGAGATAACGCCAAGAGAAAGTGTCCCGTACGCTTTCCCCCTACCCTTAAGGATCTTGTTGTGTTTTAATGATGGGCTTAGTGGGCTTAGAGGTTACAAGAGACCACCCAGAAATTGCTCTCGATCACCTTTGCAGTCTGGTTAGAGGGCAGCTGTGTTTCTCTCTGGTTATGGGAGAGTGACTCAGATGCCAGGTGGGAGGGTGAACGTCTGGCCTTTTCTGCCACTAACCATCAACCAGCAGAGAGAGAGAGAGAGAAAAAAAAAGAACATGCTGTCTGTTCACAACAGATTTCCAGTAATGCAGAAATAAGAGAGTATTTAGGGCACTTGCTTTCTTATCACTATAAATTGCATATACCAATTTTTATGTGAAGAAGCAGAATTTTTTAAAAAAAAACTGTTCTCATTTTTTAAAAAAAGTAGTATTTCCTTAATTTTTATTCATCTATTTGGCCGAGGCAAAGAAGCAATCCCGAAACCAGCAAAACCAGGGAGCTGGACAGGGGACAGATTGTATTTGTCTTCAGTGTGGAAGGGATTGTCACTCTCGAATTGGCCTTCTCAGCCGCACTAGATGCTGTTCCAATACAGAGCACGTTACCATAGTCTCTCGAGACTGATGGATGCCTACACAGATTCATTTATTTATTCATATCACAGCTCTGCACAATTTTAAATTATGGACTTATATGAAATATAGGTAAAATTAAAAATAAGTTAAAATGTTAAGATAATTAGACTATTTTTGACCAGAAGCAGGCTGTCAACTCACTTCTTCCCTTCACTTTCCAGCCCACAAGAAACAAATTCCAAAACTGGAAACATAAGGTGCTACTTACTACCCAAGGATAATGTAAAAAGATAATCCAGAAAGATTAGAGCTCAGTGGTTTAGGTATCTGGCTAATTATCCATAGGGTCCCTTCCAGCTTTGCAGTGTAAGATTATTCTTATACAGTGGTGACCCGCATTGTCTTGAGAAATGTGGTTCCCTGTTGGGATGCACTGAAATCCATTTAATGCGTTCCAATGGGAAAAATCATTGTCTTTTTGTGAAAATCGCCCATAGGAAAACCATTTTGTGAGTCGAGGAGCAGCTGTCAAAATCGTTGTGAAAAACAGTCCCGGAAAAAAAACATCTTGCGAAGCACGGACCGAAACATCGTCCAGCAAAAATTGCCCATAGGAAACACCATTTTGCAAAGCGCTATAGCGATCGCAAAAACTCATCGTCTAGCGAATTAACCATTTTGTGAGATAATCGTCTAACGGGGCACCACTGTATGTGCAAAGGCTGTCTCCCTTTCCTTTGACATACCTACAGGCCTATCCACACACAACCCACGTGGGAACCCCAGACCTCCAGAATAGATCCTGAGAACACGAGGGCAGCAGCTTTGAGGAAAGTCATTTGATTGGCCTGGTCTTGTCCAATCTGCCAGTGGAAGTGTGTTCATTCATAATCCCTAAACAGCAAATCTTAGCTTAAATGAATACCTTCTGCAGAACAAGGGTACCTCAAACTAAATGCAGTTGACTCAGATAAATAGGGTTGAGGGGAAGGGATGATTTAAGTTCTTTGGAAGAGAGCAAAACGAATAGCAAGGAGAAAATATCATAGAACGTCACGCAGCTCACTTCCTATACACGCACAACAGAGATTACATATCATCAAACTTCATGCAGCTTCCTTCTGAGTAGACCTTCCTAAAATTGCACTGTGCTGATTCAGCCCAAATGAGACCTTTCTTAAAGAGCTTCATGTCACAGTGGTTAAAGTGCTGTCCTGCAGCCAAAACTGTGCTCATAACCTGGGGTTGACTTAGTCTTCTATCCTTCCGAGGTCAGTAAATGAGTACTCACCTTGCCGAGGTGGAGAGGGGGGATACGTAGCCTGCAAAATTAACTTGTAAACCTCCCAGAGAGTGTTTTAAGTGCTGTGGGGTGGTATATAAGCAGCACGCTTTTGCTTTTTCTTATAGCTTTTATTCCTGATTATTTTTTATCTCTTCCCTTAAAATTTCTTTATCTTTTATTTTGAATTGTCATCTACACGCTCTTTGATACAAAATATAACCCTTTGCAAAAGGAAGGGTTTTGTTCTGTAGCAAACATCACGGCTAAGAATCTCTCTTTCTCCTTTCCGTTTTTAATTGTGCCGATCTCAACATGTTCTCCCCTGTTCGTTTCAGTTCAAAGAGTAGCAAGTATCTGGTTTAAAAAAACAAAACAAAAACAAAGCTTAAAAAAACTGCACAATCGGCACCCATACAAGAGAAATAAAGGAAGCTTTTGTTAAGTTCCAGTCCATGGCGAACTTCTTGAATGTTCCTTCTACACTTTAAGCAAGTCCATTTACATGAGAATTTACAAACACAGGGGAAGATGCAGCCCACCTATGTTTGTTTAATGGGACTTACTTCTGAGTAAACATACACAGGATCAGGTTGCATAATCAGCTCCTCAACTTCAACACACAGCAGTACACTCTGTTATCCTGAATCTTATGATTACTGAAAAGTAAACTTCATCAGTTTCAACTAAACTTACTTCCATGCAATTCAGACTGCAGCTTTAAAAAGGTTAGGAGTGTTGCTTTGCTTGAAATGGCATTAAGGAAGTATAATGAAAATAATCCATATTGCAAGATCTGTGCAAATTTTAAGGGCATCATGAGAGGCTACAATATCCAGGTTTTGAAGCAGCCCAAATTCAGTTAAAATATGACTAACCCTGTGGTTGAGTAGATCACAAGATCTAGATCAGCAAATACTACCCAGAGCCACTTAGCACTCCAAAGAGTGTAGATTTTACCAAAGATGATCTGCAGAACACAGTCTTACTGTTGCAACTGCATCAGATAACAGTGTAATGTTGAAACAACACAAACCCTGGAGAGGTAGAAAAACTTCAGCTATTGACCTTCAAAGAGAAAACCAAGGTCAATCATAATTGCAGGATCACAATCAGGGTCATGTCAGGTTTGCTAAGGTGCCTCTCACATGGAAGTCATGGCATGTCATCATAGTCCACAGGATACCTGCTCCTTTCTAGAGCTTGGAAAAATTATGTTCGGATTAGAATTCTCAGAACTCCATGGTCCTTGCCTATGCTGGCTGAAGGCAAGGTCCCAAATCCAACTTTTTGGGGAGGTGTATGTAACTTTTCCAAAGTTACTGTTCTAGCTCCCTGTCAAGCATAGCTGTAAGAAACACTTATGTGTACCAACACGCATTGGTCACATACATGTGTCACATTTTGTTTGCCTTTAAAGAACCCTCTTTTGAG